TCAAGAAAATAAAAGCACAAGGGCAACAGAAAACAGAAGTATCAGGTCTGTTTAGAATTTCTTAGAAATGAGTGATATAAATTATCTTCTGAAATCTTATTTAAGGGCTCATAGCAGAGGACAAACTTTAGAGATTCAGATATATATTAGGCCAAAGAAGACTAACAGAAAAAAGATAAGGAAGCTCTTTTATATAAAACTGAAATAGAATCTTATCAAGAAAGAGAAATTGAAATGGATTACCTCATCATCACTATGGGACTTGTTTTGGATGACCATGACTCCGCTATCAAACTTCCTAAGCATCACTGGACCGTTATACAAAGCATAGCAGATCAAAGTGTTCGAATACCCAAGTATGACTTCGTAATATCATTATGTAACTGTGAGAAAATGAAAATATTATCATACATACACATCAAATTTCTCCCACAAAGAACTTGCTTGCAACATATCATCTGGAGAGATCAATTCTGAAGACAGGTGGAAAGAAGTCACTTATTTTCATTGTACTTTCAAAATACGGAAAGTAGATAAAACCACAGAACATTTTGGAAATTGAAGTGAACTAGAAAAAAAAATAGAATAAAATAAAAAGACATGGTTCTGAGTGGAATGAAATATATTCAGGGACAGAAACATCTAAATCAATTTACACCAGAACGAGGTCATTAATTTGAACGTCCTCTTTCTTATAAAAGGCACAAAAACCATAATAAAATAAACATCAGTATTACAGGACTCAAAAGAACATGCTATAGTCAGTTCTAGACAAAAAAAGTTTTACCAGACAAGACTGTGAGGTCACAGAAATTTTCACAATTGATCTATGCAACATGAACTAGATTAACAAAAAAAAAGAGTTCAATATAGCCAAGTTGAAAATGCCCACGGTTATTAAGAATATCATGCAGGCCAAGTGAAAGAGAAATGCCCCCAATCCAGGATTGATGGTGAAGAAGCAGAATATGTGATGGAGATAATACATATTCTCTTTACTGCAACTTTGAAGGAATTAAACTTTGAAGGTCACAGAATATCCAAAGTTCACAATGTAACTAAACAAACTTAAATATAATAACCAAATTATGCATAAAAACAAGATAAAGTTGGTGTTAAACCAAACCTGTGCCTCGAGCACGATTGAAGAGACATTATGCATCTATAAGGTTGATCATTCCACCTGCTCTCTCGAGTGGGGTTCTCGGAAAATCTGCCAACTGAGGTGACAAGAAATAAACTCAAAACTAGCTCTAAAAAGAAATCAAGTGAAAGTCAACAAAAGCCAGTCTACTAGACATGACAAATCATTTACCAACCCAATAATAAATATTTGGATGATTAATATTATATTCCCAAAGAGAATCCACGGGGTATGAAAGCATAAAGCAGAATAGAAGTAAAATATCTTCCAGGAGCATTTTGTTATCAAAGTCTTGAATCACTTAAAAGGAAACTTTACAACACCCAGGAAAATAGTAATCAACTAATCCTCATATACAAAACCATCTTATTTCTAAGGATTTCTTTAAAGCCAACTAGAAAATCCTAGATTCTGCAAAATGTATTAACAGAACGATAAGTTAAACTCTAAATTATCTCGAGACAAATTATTAAGCAAATAACATCAAAATTGACACCAAATTAAAAAAAAAAGACATGGAGTAGAGAACCTGACGTGACAGTTGTTGATAGTACAGGGGAGGGGTGTGCAAATCCGGGTATCCGGAATTTACGGGTAGACGATTTCTCGGCCTCTATCCCGACCTGAATGTTACAAGTACCCAGTAATCGGGTATCCAAATTTTGTGGGTACCCGGTTTTTTTATTTTTTATTTTTTATTTTTAAATTATTAATTTTTAAAAAATATACATAAATTTAAATGTTCGAAACTTCGAATTACATACTCTAATATCCGAACATAAAATTTAAAAATTCGAAATATAAAATTTAATAATCCATAATATAAATAATTCATTATCTTTTATATAATTATATATAAAAAATAAAAACTAACCGATACCCGGGTAACCGGGTATCCGGAAAAACTAGATTTTGTGACCCGGGCCCGACCTGGGAAATGTAGGGCTGGGTACCCGACCCGGCCGAGTAATTTTTTTTTAGAGAATTACCCGATTTTTTTAGGCCTGGGTCAGCGGGTCAGGTCAACCGGATCGAGTAATTTTGCACACGCACCTACAGACTCCTTAGTGAATGGGGATATTATACCAACACTCAACAACCAATCTTGCATCTCCTCTTTTGAACCCATATCCTCGCCATTAGTTCCACTTGTTTGAGAACTCGTTCCGGACAAAAGCTTTTGCCTCATTTTTTTTTCTGCTGGCATCACCATATCTTTAGCTTTACTCTGAAAATCCAAAAGAATTCTAAATCTTGAACAATCAGAATGTAAGAGAACAAGCAAGAGAGAGAAACCAAAAACACCATAATCATTAACTACAGCTCAGAACCTATCTTTTGAATTAAACAACATAACTAAATAGAACCTAATCAATTCTTTTATGCATGCCATTGACACAAAAGTTCATATGTATTATGTCCTAACTAATGATATAGATATTATGGCTAATTGCTACTTCTTCCACACTCAAGGGCATGTTCCACTTGCATTCACAGATGTAAATCATTTGCACAAACAATCACAACAGAAACCGAATCAAGAAGATGTTGTATATTACGCTTCATCTTTCTTATAAAGAAACCGGACACTTCAATGTAATAAAGAAACCAACGTTATACAATAAATGGCTTTATATTTCAATAAAATGATACAATTTTCACATCAAAACTAAATTCCCTATAATTTGCTTCAATTCATTATCTTCGAACAAAAAAGAATCGCATTACCATGAGAGCATTTAAGTCCTGAAAAGCATCCTGCAAACTCTTATCAGTACTCTTCCACATTTCTTGCTCCTTCCTTAAAATCCCCGCCACCCCTACCATCCTCACCGACCCGTCACTTGAATACAACCCTCCAACGGTTCCTATGCTAGCCCCTGAACCAGACCCCGGCTCGAAAACGCGACCATCGGGTGAGACGAGGACTCGGAAGCGGATCCTGGGGGAGTGGAACACTGACTTGAGATATTTTTTGGAGGAGAAAATGTGGGAAATGGCAGCAAGAGGGACAGCTGAGACGGTAGTAGGGGGGGTGGCGGAAGAAGGGAGCCAGAGGAGGCGGTGGGTGGTGACGATGAGGATACCCGATTTTAAGGGGGGAAGTGGTTGTGGTCTTCAAGTTCGAGGTCGACGCCGGAGAGAAGGTGGCATTCAACTTCGTTGCGGAGGAAGACAGGGCGGCCGCTGCTCGTCACCTCCGCCTTGGAGAAGAAATTCGTCATCGGGTTGTTTTCGGTTGATTGTAAGGGGCTTTTGCTTCGCCTTATTTAACATACCTTGTCCAAAGATTTTTCTGTAACATTCTTAGGCTATACAATTGCTTGAACTGTTCCATTTTTTCTTTTTAGCATGATTGAAGTGTTCAAATTAATTTGACGTAAGTGAAAATTTGAAATGAATTTTAGGTTCCGTTGGATGGCAAAACAGAGTCGTTTTACTTGAATATTATTCTTTTAAAAGTTTTTTTAAAATATTTAGGGTAAACTACATGAGATACCACCGAACTTTAGGCGTTATATTGTTTATACCACTTAACTTTCAAATTTTCCAATTATAGCATTGAAATTTGATTTTCATTTCAATTATATCACTGGGTCGTTAAATCATTAATAGCCAGACCAAAACGACGTCATTTTGGTGATGTGTCTATGTCAGTATCCGTCAACACATCATCATATCGTTAACGATTTAACACTTCAGTGGTATAATTGAAATAAAAATCAAAGTTTAGTGCTACAATTGATAAAATTGAAAGTTTAGTGGTATAAATGATACAATGCCTAAAGTTTGATGGTATCTGATGTAGTTTAACCTTAAATTTATATTCAATTTAGATTAGTTATCCATTCTTTCGTGGAATTTAGATTAAATTATTGTATAAAGTAAAGAAATTCATCCTGGTCGTATTATATGATAAATCAAACTAAATTTATGTGATTTAGAGTTTATAAATTGTAATCAAAAATTAATTTCTTTTTAAATAATTATAATAGAAAAACTTTAAAGCTTTATTAAAAATTAATATTTAATCAAATTAAATTAAAATATTTAAAAACTTTAATTGAACAGAACCAATCACACCTCACATTTTATGCTCGTGGTAGATTAGGCCAAAGAGGACGATTATCTCTTTATAAGCAAGCCCATTATCGTTTTGCCCATGGTAGATCGGTTATCTGATATGTTGATTTGCATGCACCAAATCATTTGTTGAGTGAGAGGGATGGATACTTCTAAATTTTTCAGTCGAGTAATATTTCTAATCCTTTAAATATTTATCAAATAGAACAAAGTAATCTCGAAGATAATAAAATTATTATTATTTTTTGAGTTCTCAAATTCGAACATCATAAATACTAAAAGTGTTGATGTTCAATATCAAATAGTTAAAAATTATCTTTAAACAAATATTACATTGTATTTGTCAAATAATTTTTTTTACCTTTCCTAAATTTTATATTTAATACTTAAATAGATTCTTACCTCTCAAGTTATGATTATAACTCCGTTCCTGCTGTATTAAACCTAGAGGCCTGATGATGAGTCATTTGCCATACTGATATCACCCTCCATTTTCTTTTCTTTTCTTTTTTTGTAAGGAATTCTTCAATTCATTATAGTTTTCAGTATATATTTATTTTTCTTAAGTGATAGAATCTTGTAGTTTCATTGTCTTATTTTTCGAAACCTATTAGTTTTCACTAACAAAACATTATATATTTATTTTCATGTTTCTTCTTTTCCCACCTTCCATAATTCATTCTACCTACCGACCAAAGCCTTTCGCTTCAACTAAAAGCATCACTTGCTGGGCCATGATAGAAAAGTGCAGCTACAAACATAATAGAAAAAGTATTGCAAACATAATCAAATTGGCAACGTGTGCAAGAAAGCCAAAAAGCTAAAGATATTTTAGAAAACAGATCCAGACTACAAAGAGAGGTTAAAATGCTATAGAAGTAGTTACTAGCCGCTACCGCCTAATAGTTACTCTGTTATTGTGTCTGTATATAAGTATATAAACTAGAAGCCGAAGTAGCAACCCTTCTTTTGTCCCTTAAGCAGTCACGAGATGCGGACCAGATCGTGGAAGTCCACAAGAATACGTAACATACTTGACACTGTCTAAAAGCACAACAATAAAGATCCGAGAAAGAGATTTCGGTACAATCACGTCATCCATATCCCCATCACTGGCCTCTCTGGGATCAATAAGCACGGATACTACCATAGAAGAAGCAGTTTTGTTACCTTGAAAATTTTGCTTTCCGGAATTTCTGCTAGCATGCTGCTGGGTTATGTTCAGATCAGAACTAGAGAGAGGAACAGGATGACCATGGAGAATCCTTCTGTTTCTTCCCTTGTTATGCATGGTAGTATTTTGACGTTGTTTGGAAGATTCATTGGTAACGGAGGAAGCTGGAACGATAGCTCCTGGAGCAGAGATGTCAAACTGGAACACTTCTGTGCACATGCCCGAACTCAACATTGGTCCTACAGAAAAGGACAAGAAACTGCCAAATCAGTACATGAAATATACACCAAAAGTAGAGTTGGGAGCATCATGACTATAATCACTTCTGTTATAATCCTGCAATTTTTTAACCATGATGAAGAATAATATTAAGGGTGCATCATTAAGTGTGAGATAGCTATAATATTCTGATGAACCTTACGGGTTACGGCTGACTCAATTATGAACAGTATCCCAACATATGCTCCATTGAATCTCTGTGCAAATTTATTTTACTTCAAGTTTAAGGCAAGAATGCTAAAATTATAATGCCAGACTTCAAACACCAGCAAAATGACATGGGAAACTAATTTTTAAATCCATGCTGTGAGAACCAACGAGTAATAAACCAGATCGAAGGTCAAATAGGTGAGACTTCTAGTCATCGATCAAACCAATTGAAGTGAATGGTTCAACTGAAAAATAAATTTAATATTATTTCCCATGATTTAGATAATTAAGTATTAAACATAGTAAATAGTTAAAACCAAGACTTTGAATAGAAAAAGTTTCTATGCAGCACCCCAAACTGTCAAATTCAAAGAAAACGATAGACAGAAAAAGAAAAGAATAGCATAGACAATTTTTGTGCCACAACCATATAATGATACCAATCCATACTACTGACTGCAGTAAAGCTACCTAACCTCAACCTGAAATTAGTAAACCAGTCAAGTTACATCCAATTTTACAACATTGACGTCCAGAAAAGCCCCAATTTGCATACTAAAAAACATAAGAGCAAAATAATTACCTGCCACTCCTTCCCGGAACCACTGCTGCATCTTACCATCGGCGGCAGTCGACTTGAAATGGTCCTTCAAAGCATCAGCAGAACCTGAAGAAAGAGCCATATGTCTTTCTGCATGATTTCTGTATTCACGTGAATGCTTTCCTCCATGCTCTATGGCATCAGGAATGGCAAGAGCTGGAGGGAAGTTCTTAGGGATGGCCAAACCTGTCTCTTTATTCTTTATTTCAGAAGCCTTATGAGAAGCTACAGCTTTCTCACTGGCCAGAACTGAATGAATTATCAGGTTGCCATCAATTTTCACAAGCTTATCATTTCTCGGTACATACAAGGAAGCAGTGAGAGGCTCACTAGCGTTTTGCACCCCAGTTTCTTTTTCTCAACACTGGGCTCTGAGCTTCTACAATTAACTCTATTGCTAATGTCAAAATTCCTACCATAGTTAGACCCATTTAAATGACTATCAACTCTCAAAACTTTCCCACCATGCACCTTGTAAAATCCATCTCCAACAAAACCAGACCCAACAGGTATATTTTCATATCTTAGGTTCAAAATTGGGACCAAACCACTGAATAATAACACGAAAAACAACATTCCTAATAAACTAACACTTGCAACCTTCTTAGTTTTGCTGTCACCCTTTTTAGATTTAGAAGCCGGTTTCGATTGCTGCTGTGGTTTCAGCCTAGGGATAGGTACCAATGGCACTTGAGACCCTGGAGTCTTCATCATATACTGCGGAGCACATGGCATCCAAGGGTATGCCATTGGTGGATACATTGGAATAGGCATTGGCTGTGGAGGGCACATTCCAGCAGCACCACCACCACCGGTACTTAATTGCTGTCTCAAGGTAGCATTTTCCGCCATAAAATAAGCTATCTTATTATTCATATCAGAAATCGTGGAATGCATTGTCCTAACCTTATCTTCCAGCTCTTCCACGTAATGCTTCTTCCGCTGCCTTGATAGCTGCGCACTCTCTCTGTTCCTCATGAGCCTCGCCCACCTTTTCTCCTCCTCTTCGCTCAGAGAATTTGACTTATTATCAGAACTGGTGCTAGAATTGTTCACAGTCAGCAGCGATGATTTTCTACACTTGACGGAATCAGCTTCTTCATGAACCATCCTCCTTTTAGACGTTCGCCTTTTACCCAATTCTTCAACATCAATCTTTTGATCGACATCGGTTCCAGAATCCGCCGACGCAACGTTAATGTTCCCAGAAACGGCCGAACCGCAATTTCAGAGCCTAAAGACGAGACAGGAGAGTGTGAATTACCGGTCTGGCCGCAGCAACTATCAAATTCCGGGGAGGAAGAATTAAGGTACCCTTCCACGTAAGATTCGGGTGTAGCTCCGGAAGAATCGGGCACGATCACGTCCGGAAAGTACAATTCGTCTAAGTCGTCGAAGGTAAGCTGGAAATCATGGTTGTCGTCGAGAAGAAACTCTAGATCTGAGGAGAGATACAACGGATCCATAGGGGGAATGGCCAGCAATTCCAATTCGGCGCTCAGTTGGGGTTCAACCGGCGCTTCCGCCATTGAATTTCGGATTCGGGTGGCGGGAGCTAGTAAATCCGGCGGGTTTTAGAAGGTAGAATGAAGGATTTCGATCGACTTTGTAGTAAGTCTTAGAATGGAGAAAACCAGGGGTTTGGGTTTTAGTATTAATTTGTGATCCTCTTTATGGAAAGGTCCGAAGACTTTCCTTCTACGTTTGGGCTTTGCCGCGTGGGCGTTGGTTCTCGCCTTTATCAACCCCTAAAAAAACCATTAAATTCTTAGATCTGATACATTTTGGATAATTCACGGACCCGGTGTATGCGCTCGGTTTAATAAATACAAGATCCCATATTTGATTGTCCAAATACTTAATTTTTTTTAATTAAGATCTTTCAAGTTTTAAAATCTTAAACAATTTAATTTAGGTTTTAAGACAGATACGTTGTCGATTTAAAAATTACTATTGTATGATCACTCCCATCAATACAGTAAGATTTTTAACCTATAATCTTAAAGTTCTTAGCATTGATTCTAATTAATATATTAAGATCTGGATTTAAATGGTTAGTCTGGTATTAAGCTAACATACACAAATGTACAAACTTAAAACATGAATGCACGATAGTTTTATCAATCATGCATAAGAAGGATCCAACAATTTATTTTACACAATTCAATGAAATTATTATTTTTAAAGTATGAAACATTAGTTCACTTATGATGTATATTTGCATTAGAGTTTTTCAAATTTGATGTGACATAAGTTAATTAAAAAATATTAGAGAAATTTAAAAAATCTGGCTTGATCATACGAAGTAAGTGTATTTTCTTTTACGTATAAAACATACTTAGCTCTCTCATTTTCTTGAAATCCTCTCAAAACTTGAATTCATCCCTTCACTATTTTTGAAGCTATTGAGCTTTTCTTAAAGCTCTTGAATTGGTGATGAAGAAGCTGCCCTAGAAATGTCTTGAAGGTTTAATTTAAGTCGTCACTCTTTTAATCGAAGGTTAAAGCTTGAGAAATAAAAAGGAAAAAGAAGTCGAGGGAAATAAAAATTATGAAGAAGATGGCAACAATGAAAAAGCCCCAAGATCCCATGCCAAATTCATATAATTGGGACCATTTGGGTGCAAACCCTTTTTCCCTCAATTGGGTAATTTGCATCCTTGGTCCTCTGACTACCCAAACCTTGATAAATCTCACCCTGTTATACTTTAATACTTCAATTGAACATCGGTTTTAGTTCAATTCAAACTTCAATTCAATTTGGCCTCCAACGAACATGTCTATTAACGAACGATTCAATGAAGACGTGTAATTAATAGCAATATTGAATCCCACCTCATATTTGTATCTTATAAAAGTTATTGGAATCCAAATTTGATTCAAAGCTCAAATTTCGACCTTGGAAATTTAGAGTGTCACATATAAAATGAGAAATTTAAATGTATGAAAAATTATATTGTGTATTTATAAGAAATTTTCATTATCATATTTTGAGGAAATATAATTTTAACGTGTTAAAATATTAAATTTGACATCATTTTTTTAGTCTCGTTTTATAAAATCAATCAATAACTTTAATAACTAAATCTTAGACAGAACATAATGTTTGACTCGTTACTGTGACATAATAATAATAAAGACCAAATCACTTCAAAGTTCTCGCAAATCACTTCAATGGCAATAATTCCGGTATTATACAATAAGACATGAATTTTGTCATATACTTAATTTAATTATTTTTAATTTTTATATTTTGTTTGAAATTTAAATTCAAACAATAATATTTGAGAAATGGAGACCGGATCTTAAGCCCGATGCATTAAAATAAAAATAGCCTAACCCCAAAGATAAGACGGAGGCAGTTGGCAACAGATAGAAGGGAAAATCAAAGTCAAAAAAGCAAAGGAAGGCTCAAACGAACCTATATATACCACCCACAAAGGACGCATGAAACTCGAGAAACAACAATCAGAGAGGGGAGTAGCGGTGAGGTCTTCAGGAAATACTATTTTCCGGCGACTGTTTGATTCTCTCCCGCTCTTGATGCTGTTCTTCCCTGGATGCCTTAATCAGTGTTCGGGATCTCTCTTTCTCTCTCATTTCACCGAATTAAATTATTTTAATCGAAGAGCTTTCAATATTTTACAGAGAGATTGTTTGTGATATTTTTTACTCTCTAAATTTGTACAGAGCATTGAGGCGATTTATAATTGGAGGAGCGAGGGGCTGATTTACAGGTCTGATTTTATTTGGTTTTATGTTTCGATTCTTTCTTCGCATTTTCCTTCTTTTTTTGTTTCTAATTTGACTGGGTTTTTCATCAATAGGGAAACGAAAAAGTCCCAGGTTTGATGGATTCAAGAAATATATAGATAAATGTCAATCAGGTATCTATCGGGTGTATGCAATTGAATCCGACACCACATTAATTCGAATAGGTACGTGCTTTGATATATATTATTGATAGCGTCGTCTTCTGTTACATTGATCACATTTTTGGAGGAAAAAAAAAAGATATTTACAGAAAAAATGCTTTGAATTTGTAGATGCGTGATGATTAGTCTCATACGAAAGACTAATAATCCTCTCTGGGAATAGCTAGCTCTAACCTTGGTATGATTGACTGCCGTGTATGAGTTTCTTCAAAATGGCGGTAGGCGTTGGTCAACATCATGGATTCAAACCGTTCAGCCAATCTCAAAGATGCAGACTCCAGTCCTTCACCGAACTTGAGTACAACATTCTTGAAGTTGGCTACAAAGACCTTGCTCACTCTTCGAACAAGTATTTGAAGTTGCAATTTCCATCGTAGTTTCTCAACCCCCTGCCTTTCATTATCCATTAATGTGGAGGAAGAGTTTGACACCCCTCCCCGGGTTCAGATAATTGGGGGCCAAAGCGCCCCGAGAAACGGTGCTCTTGTGGTTGAGGTGGCCATGGCCATCGCTTCCGGAGAAGTGCCTGTATCGGTGTCCAATGGGCTTGGTGGCGCCTACCTCTTACATAACCCGAGTGGTGACACTATAGCTGTAGCAAAGCCCATTGACGAAGAACCCTTGGGTTTGAATAACCCAAAAAGGTTGTGCGGGATCAATGTTTGGACAACCAGGAATAAAACGTTCCATACGTGTAGGTGAAACTGGCATTCGTGAGTTGGCAGCTTATCTCCTCGACCATGGTGGGTTCGCTGGTGTTCCTGCGACAGCTCTTGTGAAAATCTCTCATGTTGCATTTAATGTCAATGAAGCAACCGCTATCTCTGCCACACCTTATAAGATTGCCTCCCTACAAAATTTCGTCTCTCATGACTTTGATGCAGGGGAGTTAGGGCCTGCTGGTTTCTCGGTGGCTTCAGTTCATAGAATCGGGATATTTGACTTAAGAATCCTGAATGTAGACCGGCATGCGGGAAATATTCTTGTCAAGATAAAGGGCCAACATGAAAATTATGCTGTCGGGGCAGCTGAGCTTGTGCCCATAGATCATGGTCTTTGCCTACCAGAGTGCCTTGATGATCTATACTTTGGATGGTTGCATTGGCCTCAAGAATTGGTTCCTTTTACGGAGTCAGAAACCGAGTACATTCTAAATCTCGATCCAAATAAAGATGCAGAATTTTTGCGGATGGAGCTTCCGTTGCTAAGGGAGTCCTCCATACGAGTCATGATCCTTTGCACCATTTTCTTGAAGCAAGCTGCTATTGCTGGCCTTTGTCTTGCGGACATAGGTGCAATGATGACTCGGGAGTTTCGAGGCGATGAAGAAAAACCGAGCATGCTAGAGAAACTTTGCACACAACCTAAGACAAATGTATTTATCAATACTTCAGAAGTTGAAGAAGATATGGATAATAACTATGATAAAGTTGAGGTTGACACTGGAATCTTTCTATTAGCCAACGAAATTGAAGATATCTTCAATGAGGTTGCAGCAGATCTTCCCAAGCTCTTCCATCGCCCTTTGAATTTCGCTAAGCCGCCGAAAACTTTGAAACTTTCATCTGTAAGATCGATGCCAGGATTGTGTGGTAACAGTAGCTACCGCGACAACATGAGTTTCTCGATGCAAAAGAATAACCAGGAGAGTGGAGATATGTATTTGGGGGATATACCTGAATGGGAGATGTTCCTGGAGAGTTTTGAGAAGCTATTGCCTCAAGCATTTGAGGACTCCAACAAACGGAAGTTGGGAACTTCTTGCAATTTTTGAACAATTTCAGAAAGGTAGTACAAAAGAGTATCCTACTAACTCACATGTACAAATTATTGTACATTAATATTTGTTCCTGTGTATGAGTTGTAGTGTAGGGATATAATCATGTATTGTATTTGTACGTGTAAGTACATATAGTTAATTAGGGTACATATGGGTCGTAAAATAAAGTGATGGCCACACAGCCGTCCTTTAAACTTTTACTTGTTCTTTTCTTCCCTTTTGCATTGTACTGCATATTTATTTTGCAATGCAGACGCAAAGCATTTTCTATTTACTTGTATTTTATTATTTGGGTAAAATATGTAAATAATCTCTTAATTGTAGTACTTTTTTCTTTAATCTCTCTACTATGAAAAATTATAAAATGGTCATCCAATTTTAAAAACCGTAAATTACACCCAATGTCACTTAATTATGGGTTTGGTAATAAACATGTCATTTTTTTTCTAAAAGTTACAAACATATCACACAATTAAAATATTATTATAAACATATCACTTCGTCATTTAAATTGAAACATATATCTAATATGCCATGGTTTAATAATATTTTGTCTCTAAAACTTATATATCTAAAACTTATATATTCTATTAATTTTGTCTTGAGTTAAAGCAATTTACTACATTAACCTTTCATATTTAAAAAATCTATCAATTTAGTCTCTTTTGAGATACTATCAAAACAAGCGAGTTCCATTAGATTAAAGGAATAATTGGATAATTTACCCTGTCATAAAGTAACAACAAAATATTATTAAACTGTTATTATACTAGAAAATTAACAAGTAATATAACATTTATGAGAGAAAAATAAAGATAAATGATAAGAATTTTAAGTATGATGAGTTAGATTAATTGAATTGCTTCGACCAAATTGATAGATTATATAAATTTTAAGGACTAAAATTAACGTTATATCAGACCACAACACTATATGTAATATGTATTGATCATTGGCATGTTTGTAATAATATTTTAATTGAGTGACTTGTTTATATATATTTTTAAAAAATCATTTATTATCAAATACATAAGGAAGTGATCTAGAGTTTAATTTACCCATTAAAGAAAAATAAAATGATATGTAACCACTAATAATATGGGTATAATAACAAATTCAACTTTTAACCTTTACACTTTATCATAATTTCATTCCAATCCTCATTAAATTCTCCTCCTTAGCATTTTCTTCATTGCCCCACCCTTTATCTAAAATTTATTAGTTAGATTAAAAATTAATTATTTTTAACATGTCATGATATAAAAATAACATGAATTAATGATTCAATGACTAAATTATAACAAATTAATAATATAAATGACAAAAAAATTAATAATCAGAATTAAATAAAAATGACCTTTATATAAAATTTATTCCCGGGAGTAAGCTGTCGGGCATAAAACCAAAAAAAAAAAAAAAAAACTAGGGTTAGTTATTGTATTTAAAGATGAGCGATGAGATAAAGAAGAGCCGACTGTCAGTTTTGAGTTCTCATTTGACCCATTTGCCTCCGGAATCTTCCGTCATGGCTTCGGAGAAAGAAGCCGCCCTCGCTGCTGCCCCCTCTGATTCTCCTACCATGTCTGTCCAACCTTACTTTTCCCCTTCTACTTCTTCTTCTCATCATTTTCTTCTCATCTAATTATTATTATTTTTTCAGATTTGACAAAATCATCAACAAGGAAATCCCAGCAACAGTTGTGTATGAAGACGATAAGGTGCTGATCATTTTTATACTTCTATTTTTAAGTATTGTGTTTATCATTCACTGCTTGTTGCTACGCTGGAAGGTTCCTTTAGAAATCATGCCCAATTTTTCTTCTTGAAACTATGGCTTGATGGGATAGAAACCGCCATTTTTTTCTTGTAATTCATACAACGGGTGACTCCTTCTGATTGTATATATTTTCTTTTGTTTCTTAAAACAATTTTCCCTGGCCCAATTGTCCATCCTTCGCCTTCCATACGTATTGCTGAAAAAGGACCTTACCTAACTTTATGATATTCAAGGTATCGCATATTAATCAGTGTTTTACTCATTGACCTAGTATTAAGGTTTAGTAAGTATATTAAAAGATCAATAAATTTTAGTTTCTAACAGCTGTTGGACCACTGAGAAATTATGAAAAGGGATTTACCTGGATACTAGTTTGTCATTTGCTATGTCCTCTCCTTTCTACGTCACTGTTTCCCCGCTTACAAGTTTTAAAAGCTAGTGTTGAAACATGTATAATGTACCGAAATTCAGTGTTTTGAACGCAGAATTCCTGTATCCCCAACTTTATCATTCGTAACAAAGAAATCTGGGGACTTACTGTTGCATTGAAGAAAATCATTAATTAGTTTTGCATTCTCTGCTTTCATTAGCCAAAAGCTTTAAACTATCATTATTGGTGACGGTTCTACAATCAGCCTTTTATCTTATTGTCAAAACACTTTCTTCATTTTTAATGGTGACCAACCTTTTATCTTATGATCCATCCGTTCATCCATCAGTTGCATGTGTGAATTGCCAAGTCTCCTCTATGTTTTCTGTTTGGGGGCAGGTTCATGTAAAATTCACTTTCTTTTTCTTCAGTTTGATATGTTAGCTCCTTTCTGCTAGCTTAAAGTTTATTTTCCATTTATTTCCACTGACAACATGTTTATTTACCTTTTCTTTTGTTTGTAGGTCTTAGCTTTTAGGGACATAGATCCCCAAGCTCCTACACACATCTTAATTATTCCAAAAAAAAGGGATGGCCTAACTGGATTGTCTAAGGTACAATTGTTTTTTTTTCTCACATCTGAGTAGTACGCATTTATGCCGTCTTGTACAGTGGAAATAACAATTATGACAATAAAAATTATTTTTTGGGGTTTGTATTCTTTTGAGTTTGAGGATTTTAGGTGTTGGCTGGATTTGAGTTCAGGTTAATCTGGTTTTCTATTTAGATTTTGTAAAAGATCCTTCCTTTTAACATGGTTTTCATTTCTGGTTTGGGATTTTTGTAATTTTTTAACCAGTTTTAAAGAAGTCTGGGTTAGGTTTTTTGGTATTGAGGTCTAGGCATTGCTCTTTAGTGTCAGATTACAAATGTGCCTCAGACCCCTTTAGGCCAGGCAAATTTTATCACGCATAAGATTAGCGCATGTTGGCGTGTTTCTTTTGGTGTGGGTAAGATGATAGGCTAAAAATTTTGCCTGATTGAATTTCTGTTCAATTTATTTTATTATTAATGTTTTCTTCATTAGATTTAGCTTTTTCTAGTAAGATGGAGGATAATATCAAACTCCAATTAACAATAGACATGGAACCTTAAGGAAAAATGCATATCGGCCAGCAAAATTAAAAAAGAGTCTATTGAAATGCATGAAGACAAATTTTGTTGCAACTTTGGTGCGATCTACCACTATGCATAATTTTAACAGCCACTTATTTTAAGATTTGTGAATAATATTCCAGCCTTAATTGTGACAATAACAATTTCAGCAGCATGCTATTTAAAACTCAAAGCATATCAGGTTTTAGAATTTTTGTCCAAACTGCACTACCTGCTTCTGGTGAAGTATGTGTGATTGTTTGATTAGCTGCTTCAGAAACTGTCTTGTACTGAAGCTACATCCAACCTATTGTTGAATGAGGAGTACACTGTTTTGTTCCTTGATCCATCGCTGGTCTTATGGTAGTGAATTCTGTGTTTTAGGCTGAAGAGAGGCACACTGAAATCCTTGGCCGCCTTCTTTATACTGCAAAGATTGTTGCAAAACAGGAGGGACTGAATGATGGCTTCAGGATCGTGATCAATGATGGCCCTCAAGGATGTCTGTATTCTTTCCCCTATTTTATTTACGATTAACATTCAGTTTTTTATTATTATTATTCATATGGTAGGTGATGTTGTGTTGCAGGTCAATCTGTGTATCACATTCATGTCCACCTCCTTGGAGGGCGCCAAATGAACTGGCCTCCAGGCTAAATGAAGATATTAATTGTTAGACACCTTATTTTGTGCTAGTGTGCACTGGTTGTTGTTATAAATAATGAAAACAGACATGTTAAACATTGCTTGTGTCGATGATTTGAGTACTCCAACGAGGCTCTTGAACTTGGGGAAAACTAATGAGCCATGTGTGAAATACTTGGATTCCTAATTATGTGGTTAATTATTCGCCTCTTTAACTTTTCATTAACAGCTTCTCAGTGCATCAGAAGCATAAAGTCTCGTGTCTTAGGCCTCAACCTAGATTTTCATATTCTTAGAGAAACTGAAACATCATAGTTAGCTTCGTTTTATTGGCGTAATAAATTGGCGGAACTTTAAAATTCTTATTAGGGTACTTGTTTCCTGCAATGTGTTGATATTTTAGTATTGCTATTACTAGTTCAGCGGGGGTAAATTAAGCCATATGTGATGAGCTGGTTCACTAGGTCCGATCTGCTTTGTAAAGTTCGAGCCAGTCTGTTTTGTAAGGTCTGAATGGATCTGTTGCATAAGATTTGAACCACTTCATTGTTCAAATTTGGACCCAGTTGGCAAAGCTAATAGTGTAGACATTCGCCATAAAGATGATGCCCGATGAGTATTTATTATGATTAATTCCGATGCATATATTAATGATTTAATTTAAATTCATGAAAAGTTATAACTTCAAAAATAAATAAATAATGTTAATAATTAAAGAAAACACCTTTTTCATTTAAAATATGTAGAACAAGTTTCGCCCTATTAACATTGCAAAAACAAATTCATAATTTGAGGCACACTATAACAACCCGTGTATTTTGTATTATAAATTATTACTTTGGAATAAAGTTGTAAGAACATCTAATTGAACCAAACAATATATTTAAATGTAATGATTTGATTATAAAATATATACATTGAATCCAAATCGACCACGATAGGAACTATCCAGTAAACACATTCATTATAAACCACAGAGTGATCTAAATCAAAAGCAACCTTAACTCGAAACAATCTAAGTTTCAAACTATGAAACCTAAATTGGAGTAAAAAATTTCAAGATCCAAGTGGACAGCACCAAAAGACAGTTCTATAATTGGCGCCAGCGCCAGGAAACCATGACAAAGGTATCTCTAAAACGTGATTACCAAATCTATATTCGTGCTTTCAATCAAAGATTCAAATTCTAGTAAGTAGTGCCACCAGAAAAAGTAGAGAGATAAATGTGCCATTCGAATCTTTGCTATTCAAACAACAAATTGTATAATTCAAATGCCAGACCAACACAAACAACCACGGAAAAGATCACAGGACAACACATTATCATCTAATTCTGAACAAATACAACTATTTCTCAATGCAGATAAGTATCAGCATTCAGGAGCAATCGCCTTTTCCAATTGTTCCTGCAATTGCCCATTTTTAAATGCCTCTGTAGGTAAATAGGAAAAAAGCTTCATCAAAATTCTTGCAGAACCCAATGTTAGAAAGTATTCTTAAAAATGTGGTCCAACCACGAGCGGAATAATGAACACAAACGGAGAAGCAATCATTGATGCTATAAATGACAAACATCTTTTCATTTAAGCCAGAACCATAAGCTACATGGTCAAGATCCGGTGCCATATTGAACAAATAGAAACAGATTGATGCTTAAAAACACATTTTTCTCACTATTTCAAACCATTACAGTTTAAACTGTTTGAAGCACACATGGATGAGACTTCTGCAACACAAGGACGACAAACCCGATTTCAAAAAGATCACTTGTATTTTCTTCACATAGAGTTATATATACCTAAAAGACAAAGCAAGCCTGTATTCAGGTACAAAACAATATTATTCTACAACGATGGAAGCAGACTTCTTGAAGAGCATAGAGTTCAGAAATAAAAAGTACAATAGTAAATTGTGTCTCCTTATTTGTTGAGAAGCGCTATTGTGTATATATATCTGACTCAAAGTAGAGGAAGGCTATCCTATTCCCATTAAAAGGGCCAGAAGGGTAGCTTCTCATTCTCATTCTAAATCCCACCCTTATTAAGTTCCCCTGCCTGGCACACGTTTCTCAATTTTTTCTTTACTACCTTCACGCTGGAAAGATGTTGCACAAGACCATAATAAACTACAGAGAACAACTTCAACTAATCATTTCTCCTTATATGAATGTTCATGAGCACATGCAATTTTAATGCACATGTTAACTCATGCATATTTGTGTATGATAATGCATGAGCTATAAAGATAGAAGATGAGCAGAAAACAAAAAGATGTTACTCGGAACATGAGGCACACAATAGACCAAAGAAAGATTAATGTATAGAAATAAACCCCTAAAATATACATTCGAAGTGGAAAGGAGGGAATCAATAGATCAAGTCCTCTGCTATCTGTATTTCCATAGTGGTTCTATGAGTTTTAGTTCTTTGTAACAGAGATTTTCAGTTGCTTAAAACAAGAATATTTGCGTATCAAAGTGAATTTTTGTTCTACTAAAAGTTAGCAAAGTGAAATCAACAGAAAGCTTACCGACTGTGATATCGCAACCACCGAAAAACTCTCCTTCAATATAAAGTTGAGGGAAGGTAGGCCAGCTGGAATACTCCTTCAAAGCCTGACGTAGAAGTTCATTCTCGAGTATGTTTATCGTTTCAAAAGGAACATTCAAAGAGTTTAAAATTTGCACCACAGTATTGGAAAAACCACACTGTGGGAAGTCCTTCGTTCCTTTCATGAAAAGAACAACCTTGTTCGATGTCACCACTTTATCCAATGTATTCTTTAGCTGAGGAGTTAAAGCTGCACACAAACCAACAATATGAGTATACTCAAATATAACTAATCACAATTTTATCCAAAAAAAAATGAGAAAACACACACACACACACAAGAAGCATAGTGATATATGTATTCAATGGATATCCACAACAAAAGAAAAATAAATTAGAATTCCTATGAAGAGATCGGTTTCTAATTTTAAAGGGGAATTGGGCAACATGAAAGGATAGAGGTTAAATACCAGAAGCAAAGCAGCGAAAGGGGGAAATCCTAGCAGTAGAGCTGAAGGTGTTGCGAGGTAACGAGAAATGATTTGTTGAACAAAGTGGCGAGGTGAAGGTGCGGTGCGATTGGTGGAGGGTTTCCGAGCAGGAAAACTGTGGAAGCACCGCATATGGTGTTGGATACGATTGCGAAGAACAAGAGGAGGACACCGTGATCACCCACCGCAGAGCCATCTCATCCACTCAACACGCGTTTGTTTTCCCTTTCCTTCCTTCCTTTGTCTTCTGCCACTATACATCACATGCACATCAGAGTAAATCCGTTTACAAATTTTATTGGGTAAACTAATTATTTTACCATTTACTTATTACGTAATTTCTGTTTTGGTCATATATCTATTATTGTTTTTAAATTCATACATAACTTTAGGTTTATGACAAAACATTTTTTTTTCATTTTTAAATACCGACACGGAGTTATTGTATGATCAGGGACGAACCCACATTATAATTGGGAGGTAACGGTCCTCAATTTTGATGGTCTAATTATCATCTAAGTTATTGGTAGTTCTAAAATCATTGTAATTAAATCTTTGCCCATTTTAAAATTTTTTGGTATAATTATTTTTTAAGATACTATCAGTTTTAAAATTATTGAAATTAAGCCTTTACTTCAAATTTGTCTGATTTAATTACTTTTTAAAACTTTTGAATTTTAAAATAGTGAAATTAAAGCTTTAATCTCTTAAGTTTATGATTTAATTATTTTTAAGACCCTATTTGTTTTAAAGTTAAAGACTTTGCCCCTTTTATAGTTCAATCTTGTATACGTCTCTGCACATGATTATATGTCAACATCACCGTTCATTTTTTAAAGGCATGTAACCAAAATAAAATCAAAACGTAATATTAAGTATTATTTTAAAAAAATTAATAGTTGGGTGACCAAAAAAGAAACTGAAAAATAGGTAGTTGACCCAATAAGTAGTTTCCCCTATATTAGTTTGTTAAACGTAAAATAGTATGGCCCAGTAACCCAAAACAGATGTAATCGAAAAGCATAAAATGTAATAAATCCAGCCCAAGCCCATACACGGAAAACCAAGACAGGCCAAGACAGGAGTCATAAAGGGTAAAATACACTCCAGATTACACAATTATTTGTTTAGTAACTAATGGGTCATTGTTTTTCTAAATTTTATTAACAGGTCAATCAATTAAAATATTATTACAAATTGATCACTCCATCGTTAAAAATAAAACAGACGGTCTAATTCGATTGATATAATAGCGTTTTGAATCTCAAAATTTATATTTTCTATCAATTTCATCTTAATTTGAAATAATTCAAAATTTTAACCCTTCATATTTTAAAATTTTATTAATTTAATCTTTTTCGTGATACTATCAACTTAAGTGAACCTACTGGATCAAAACAACAGATGGATAACTGAATTTTGTCACAAAATAACAGCAAGTTACCATTAAACTATTATTATACTAGCAAAATAATATAACATTTATGTTAGAAGAACAAATACTAAGATAATAGAATTTTTAAATATGAAGGGTTTAATTTATTGAAAAATTTCTAATTAGGAAACAAATTATTATTATATCATATCATGTCACGATTTCATCTAATATTTTAACTAACAATGATATATTTATAATAATTAAATTATCCGACATGTATTTTACGCTATTATCAAAATACCTTTAACTCTTTCAATCATCTTTCCCTGGTTTTGCTACTGAAATTCACAACTAAAATCATAGAATTCAACACAATAGTTAACTGATGTGTTAGAATCTGTTGTCAATGTTACTTTGACAAAGCAACACAATAATTGACATGGGGACATGTTCCTCTCTTAACATATTGATCTATTATCATATCTAAGATTGATGTATCATTTGCAAATATGTAGGGATGGACACAAGATCTTATATTAGGGGACCAATTTCAAAAATTCTAGGTGGAGGTGAACCTATAAAATTCTAGGATGAGAAAACCAGATTATTGGTTGATAATACAAAGAAAATATCTAAAATATATACTAAATTAAAATTTTTAAGCACCGACTGTCCCCATCCGCCCTCTCTTCAATCCATCATTGTGAATATGTGTACAAAGATTTTTACAAAATTAAAAATTGATTAACTGAACCGACATATTATGAGTATGAAGTCGACAGTTTTTTGTTCAACGTGTTG